ATAAAGTTATAAAATATTTTTCCCACTATGAGATGGTATAGACTTCATATCACAAATGTCAGTATGAATCAAGTCTAAAGGACTTGAGTTCCTTTCAATAGACTTATAAGGATGTTTTACAAACTTAGATTCAACACATATTTGACATTTTGATTTATTACACTCGAATTTAGGCAATACTTCTAATAAATTAACTTCCAAACTTCTAAATAAATTAACTTCCGCAAGGTTTTGTAATTGACATGTCCTAAACGAATATGCCATAAATCATTTGACTCTAATAAATAAGAAGAAGCTGAAATTTTATTAATATTGTCAACAACTATTAGATTGAGTTTGAAAAGGCCCTCTGTGAGGTAGCCCTTTTCAACATACATATCATTCTTGCTTACAACAACTTTGTCAGATATAAATACACATTTGAATCCATTCTTAACAAGTAAAGAAGTTGAAACTAAATTTTTCCTAATAGTAGGAACATGAAGAACGTTGTTGAGCGTTAACACCTTGCCGGAAGTCATCTTCAGGAATATCTTCCCATAACCCTCAATCTTGGCTGTTGCAGTATTTCTCATGGAAAGCTCTTCTTCGGGACCAGCAGTAGAGTAAGTCGCAAATGCTTCTCTGACAGCACAAACATGTCGAGTGGCTCCAGAATCCACCACTCCTTCGGATTTCAACCTAAGTTGCATTCCTAAAGCATTGCACACAGATCATCATTGTCATCATCTTTCTCCACTATGTTGTCCTGTCCCTTTTTCTTGTCCATTTTCGGGAGACGGCTATCAGGGGCTTTGTGACCAGATTTTCAGCAACTGTAGCGGTTGCCCTTGAATTTTTTTCTTGTTATGCTCATTGGTCTGTCCAGAAGACCGCTTCCTCTTCTTACTTTTTGGAGCAGTCTTATCAACAATATTAGCTCCCATAATCGTTGAATTTCCACGAGACTTCTTCTCGGATGTTTTGTTATCTTCCTCAATCTTGAGACGAATCACAAGATCTTCCAACTTCATTTCTCTTGTGCTTTAGATAGTTTTTCAAATCTCTCCACGAATGAGGCAACTTTTCAATCATTGCAGCCACTTGAAATGCTTCATTCACTACCATACCTTCTGCAATAAGGTCGTGAAAAATAAGTTGAAGCTCTTGAACTTGGGTTCCAACGGTTTTGCTGTCTATCATTTTATAGTCTAGAAGCTTGGCAATCACAAACTTTTTCAAGCATGCATCTTCAGTCTTGTACTTCTTCTCAAGTGCGTCCCATAATTCTTTCGAAGTATTCATAGCACTGTAGACATTGTACAAGTCATCCTCCAAAGCATTTAGGATGTAGCCTTTGCAAAAAAATTTGCCTGTTTCCACGCCTCAACAATCATAAACTTCTAATTGTCCGGTATGTCGGTGGCAGGCACGGAAGGGTCTTCACTAGTGAACTTCTGCATACCAAGTGTGGTATGCCAAAAGAACACCTTTTGCTGCCAACTTTTGAAGTTGGCTCTAGGAAATTTCCCTGATTTTTCGGCCGGTGGTACAGCAACTCAGCTTGACGAGGCTATCGTCGTTGCCGCAACAGTCGCAGAAGAATTTTTATTATCAATTACCATTTTTCACTTTCCACAATAGAAGAGTTCAATTAATGGTAGAAAATAGAACAGTAAACAGTACTGTAATTAATGATAACAGTACGTTTAATAAACAAAAATCGAAGTTTATATATACTATTTCACAAAAAAATGATGAAGTTTTTATGTTCTTCAAAACATTTCTGAATTTTAATACTCCGACGAAGTTTTTATATCTTCAAATTAGAAATGAAAAAATTCAGACGGAGTAGAAAATCACAAAGGTTTTAATCTCCATAGCAGAATATAGATTACATTATATTACTAATATTTTCCTTAAGATTGTTAGTCAAACTGTAATACTATAAAATATATGAAACAACAAGTTTTCTGAAACAAAAAAAAAAAACAAAAACAGAAAAATAGTAGTATAGCAGAAATTATAAATAATCAGAAACAAAAGCTGAAAATATATTTCGGAATGAAATTGAGCCCACTGAATGCACATTGTGTCCTTAAGGAAATTATTCCCCTCAAGTACCCCGAGGTTTTGGAATATTATCCTCCCAGGATAGAACGACTTAACTCACCAGAAGAAGATCAGAAAATTTCGTAAGGAAAGATTCTAGGATCAAGGCATATTTATAGCCATTTGCCGAAGTCGAGCCGAGCGAACGACGATAACAACGACGTGAGGCTTACTTTCTTTCCAACCCATTTAACACCAAGAAAAGTGTTTTCTTAATATATGCACATTCACTTTTCTTTCCACCACCAATGAGGGACACTTGCACTTTCAAAGCAAAAGGGAACTCACTTTCTTCCCTCCATTTCCCGTTCACCAATCCTTTAATTCCAACAACCTTATGAACTAATTTTTGGGTAAATATTTACCTTAGGAACTACAACAACTTTTGGTAAAAATTGCACGGAGCGCCCTTTTTTAACCTGTAGCCGCTTTGTCTTTTTGTTTGCATCCATATCCACTTTTTAAAAAACTTCAGCTTCCCTTTATAACTGGGAAATATCAGCTCTAGAGCTGAAGTTTCCGGGTTACTAAACAAAAACTTCAGCAACTAGCAAACTTCAGCTCTAGAGCTGAAATTTTCGGGTTACTAAACAAAAACTTCAGCTCTAGAGCTGAAGTTTTTATTTTATAACTGGCAAACTTCAGCTCTAGAGCTGAAGTTTTTATTTTATAACTTGAAAACTTCAGAGCTGAAGTTTTCGGGTTACTAAACAAAAACTTCAGCTCTAGAGCTGAAGTTTTTATTTTTTAACTAGAAAACTTCAGCTCTAGAGCTGAAGATAGAGCTGAAGTTTTTATTTTATAACTTGAAAACTTCAGCTCTAGAGCTGAAGTTTTCGGGTTACTAAACAAAAACTTCAGCTCTAGAGCTGAAGTTTTTATTTTTTAACTGGAAAACTTCAGCTCTAAAGCTGAAGTTTTTATTTTATAACTGGCAAACTTCAGCTCTAGAGCTGAAGTTTCCCAGTTACTAAACAAAAACTTATAAAATAAAACTTCAGCTNTTCTCCTCCTTCTTCTCCTCTTTCGTTTTCTTCTTCTTAACAAAAGACAAAATGCAGAGCCTATTTTTTTTTATTGGTCTTGCATCGAAAACTTCAGTCTGCTCATGTTACTTGCTCCACTAGCTTTGTATGAAGCGGAGACCACACTATATTTCTTGTAATTTTAATGATTTCTGCTGCTATCCGTATATTTTATTATTTAAATACCCGCTAACTATATTCCACTAGCTTTAAATGAAGCTGTGACCATACTTTATTTCTTGAGCTTTTGATAATTTCTGTTGTTGTCCATATGCTTCTGTTGTTAACAGTCTATGTGTTTTGGTTTTGCTAGCTATGCAAGAACTTACTGCTATAGTAGATAACCATCCTGATTCAGTTGGTATAACTGGCTATAGTTCTAGTTAATCTTTTGTTAGCGAGGCAATCCATATCTTAAGTGTCTAGTTCTGTTGCAGACTAATAAAGCTTAAGCTAACATAACAGTGAAGATGAATATCATGTGTTATGTGCATTACAGAGAGGGAGTTAAAAGTAGCCAATTACAACACAAAAACTTCAGCTCTAGAGCTGAAGTTTCCCAGTTACAACACGAAAACTTCAGCTCTAGAGCTGAAGTTTTCCAGTTACAACACAAAAACTTCAGCTCTAGTTACAACACAAAAACTTCAACTCAAGAGCTGAAGTTTCCCAGTTACAACACAAAAACATCAGCTCAAGAGCTGAAGTTTCCCAGTTACAACACAAAACTTCAGCTCAAGAGCTGAAGTTTCCCAGTTACAACACAAAAACTTCAGCTCAAGAGCTGAACTTCAGGCCCGGCTACTAGAATGCTGAAGTTTTGCGTAATTGCCTTTGCTACTTCAGCCCCGTGTGCTGAAGTTATGTGAAAAAACGGGTACGCTTGCAAATTTTTTTGCAAAGCGGGCACAGGTTAAAATGTAGCACAAAAAGCGAGTATAGATGCAAATGCCCCCAACTTTTGGGCTAAGTATAAGTTTGGCGAGACTCCACATTCTTAAAACGGTATCACAGTAGACACGTCACTATTATTGGTTTATCCAATACTAGTTCTCCGGGATCTATCCTTGAGTTTGCAAGAAGGTGTTAAGAGTCCCAAATTAATTGAGGGTATGAGTTGTAGTCCTTTTATATGGTTTTGAATGATTTCTCACCTCATGAGCTAATGTTTGGGTTTGAATATTGTTCAATTAGCTTTTGTTGCATGTGCGTCTGCATGCTCGTAGGGGGGTAAATCAGCCTAAATATACTCTTAATATGTGACATTTTATATGTAGAATTCCAATCTTTTTAGCTATCAATGTTAGACTTAATTCTCACACCTAACAAAATGTTTTGTTCGAACATACTTGTATTCCCCTGAATTGAGTTATGTTACATACTCTAGGCATTGTCTCAAAGGCTTCAAACGGGAAGATCTAAAGACAATTCATTGACCTGTGTTTGGGACAACTGGTGCTTAATTCAAATCCTAAACAAGTGCAATGTTCTGAATTAAATTTAACTCTATAATTATTTCGTGATTTTTAAACATGGTACATCTCAGTATATACTTTTCCCACCCTTGTATCTCCTTGCAATTGCAGCTAGCTAACACACTTGTCTAATAAGATAAAAAGATCTTGTTTTGTGGCTTCCGTAGGATTCTCAGCTGAGAATTAAATACAAACCAATTTCTCGTTATAATCGTCCTTGTTTTCTTCTCTCAACAATGAAACTCCCACAGCTGTCAACTCTATCCCCAGTTTTTGAACCTTATTTCCTTTCCAAAGCAAAACATTTATTTGTGTGTAACTCTTTGCTTTTGACAATCAAAAGATGGGTTCTTGTTCCAATTTCTTCAAGTACTATGTTATTTTGCTTTTCTTAGTGAAAATATGTACAATGGCCATAGCCCAAGATGGTTCTGTTAACGGTTTCGACGGCGCAGAAAGAGAAGCCCTTATGACAATCAAATCTGATTTCAACAATCCTAAAGTACTCAAAAGTTGGACAGGTCTCATGTGTTACTTAAACAACACGCCGAGTTGGTTTGGTATCAGTTGTATCAATGGTCGAGTCACTGGACTTAGGCTAGAAAATCTTGGCCTTATTGGAAAACTCAAGCCAGATGCACTTTTCAATCTCACTCAATTACAAACACTTAGTTTCAAGAACAACTCCATATCAGGAAACTTGATGGACTTCTCCAAAAACAAAAATTTGAAAGATATTAATTTATCTGGTAACAAATTTGATGGAGAAATTTCACCTTCTCTTTTAACACTTAATTTGCTAGAGTCATTGCAGGTACAAAACAACAACTTGAACGGTCCGATCCCTGGTTTTAATCAGTTAACTTTGAAAGTTTTCAATGTTTCTTACAACAATCTTTCTGGTGAAATTCCAAACACAACAGCCCTTAAGAAATTTGGTACTTCCTCGTACTTAGGTAACCAAGATTTATGTGGCCCTCTTTTCTCTAACACGACGTGCACTATCAAGAATAATGATACATCTGCTCCAGGTCAAAGTGATGATTCATCAAATAATTCAAAATCATCCATGTGGACTCCTATCTTGATAGTTATTAATGTTGTGGGCATGGTTGTACTTTTATTTCTTTTCATTTACTACTTCAAAAAATCCAAGAAGCTTAAGAAAATGCTGACGAAGACGAAATTAATGGAGGTAGAAAAACTTGAGACTAGTAAAATGGAGACGACGACGACGCCAACAGAAACAACAAGTATGGAAACCAGAAGTGTGGAATCAAGAAGTGTGGGATCAGAAGTGGAATTAGAGAAAGGCAAACTGATATTCTTAGGTAGTGAAATAAATTTTGACCTTGAACATTTACTAAGAGCATCAGCAGAAGGTTTGGGAAAAGGAAATTTTGGGAATTGTTATAAAGCAATGTTAGTAAATGGACCTACTGTTGTGGTGAAACGTTTAAAGGATTTGAAACCTTTGACGAATGAAGAATTTGTGAGACAAGTGAGAGCTATTGCTGATCAGAAACATCCAAATTTGTTGCCTCTTCTTGGATATTATAATACAAAGGATGAGAAGCTGCTCCTCTTGAAATTTGCACCTAATGGAAGCTTATACAACCGCATTCATGGTATGTTATATTTACTGCTTTTGTTCTTATCAATTTGACATTATTGATCTAGGCGCATTGTATAAATTACTATGACCTATAGATGGTTGAAACAAATTCCATTAGCCCGTGTTTATACTAAACGAATTGATAGAAGACATATATGTCATAGATGGCTATAAACTTTTGGTATCAATAGTTAACGATAAGTGATGTGAATCCTCCTTTAATTTGTAACTGTTAATATATAGGTTAAATTGTTCAATTTGATGTAATCATTGAGGTGCGAATAAATTTATTATCTCTCACATCCCAGATTGTCTTGTTCAGGGGCGAAGCCACCTTTTACAAAACACCGAAATATTACGACAAATTATACTGTATATATAAGCAAAATATTAATTTTAGATGTATAAAATATATATTGAAAACTCTTTGTCGGGAATTTTTTTTTAGTTTTTTCAAATCTGGACACCATTGGAAATATTTCTGCCTTCGCCACTGGTCTTGTTTATTCCGAAATTTGGGGTAGTACGTATTTCCTTTTAATTATTTTTTGTTCCAGTGGCAAGAAATTGGGCTGTGGTTAGATTAATTTTTTTTGTTCCAAATAAATGACATGAGTGAAATCCTATTGTAAATCTTAATGGTCAACTTTTTGCCATTGATTAATTTAACTAGAAAGTCAAATTTTACAAACTAATTAGTAGAGAGGTTAATTACGTTCCCTAATAAACTCGCTTAGCAATTCTTAAAAAAAAAAATTACTAAGTACTTCAAATGTTGTTGCATACATAATAGGAGGAAAAGGGACGAGAGATAGGATTCCATTTCGATGGAGCTCAAGATTATCAGTTGCTCGTGGTGTCGCTCGAGCACTAGAGCATCTGCACCTCAATTGCAGCTCCTCCCAAGTCGCCGCCACAGCCGCCGTTGTTCCCCACGGCAACCTAAAATCCTCCAATGTTTTACTAGACGAAAACGATGATGTTCGTGTCGGTGACTATGGGCTCACTTCCCTTATTGCACTTCCCATTGCTACTCAACGAATGGTTTCCTACCGATCACCGGAATATCTAGGCTTCAAGAAAGTGTCCAAGAAATCTGACATTTGGAGCTTTGGCTGCTTTCTTCTCGAATTGTTAACAGGTTAGTGACAGATCGAGACACCGTTTAACAAATGTGTTATTCCATATATACCGCGTTGTAGAAATTCTTTTACACGTATTACTAGTGCACTTTCATACACAAATCCAATAGACTGACACTACTACACACAAAAACTTGTGTACGCTACTATAACAGGTAGAATATCATCACATTCTGCTCCGCGGGGAGTCACCGGTGCGGATCTCTGCAGTTGGGTTCATCGGGCGGTCAGAGAAGAATGGACGGCTGAGATCTTTGACACTGAAATAGCTGTTCAGAGAAGTGCCAACTCAGGGATGCTACGATTGCTACAAATAGCGATAAGGTGTTGTGATAAATCGCCGGAAAAACGACCGGAGATGAGTGAGCTGCTGAGGGAAGTGGAAAGCATTAAGGGTGCAGTTGACTCTGAAGATGAAGAGGATCTGTCATTGTCAATGGATATAACGGAGGATTCCATAGCATCTGCGACTCCGTCCCGATAATTAAGAGGACATGTTACAAATACTGCATGTTCTTTCATAGAATTTGGAATGTACGAATGTCGTAACGTGTGCATTTAATATGAATTATAGCAATTTTTATCTATGATACTATACTTACTTCTACAGCATCGCTGCCTATAATTTAGGAGTAATCTGCTATGCAGCGAGCACGGACAGCATTGTTCTCATTGTTGTGTTACTTGATAAAGTTATAATTTCCGTGTGACCTATATAACTCATGGCCGGGGTTTGAGATGTGAAAATAGTCACTAGCGCTTACTTTAAAGTAGGTTGTCGATCTACATCACATCCCTTAGGATCCAGCCCTTCCCGGAACCTTGCATAGAAAATTGAATGGGCTATCATTTTCGATCTGTAGGGAATTGGTTCCATCTGTTGTCAAAAGTATGAACTAAAGGAAAAAAAAAAAAAAAAGTGAAGTTTGCCTTAATCTTGAAGGTATAAGCTACCTTTATCATGTTTGCTTTGCTAGATTATTGGTAATTTTACTTATTTCTTTTTAATGGAGTCAATGAGGCAACGACATTAACATGCACAACACATAGAATGATCCCAAGTATTACTAGCACGGAGACATGATTTTGAGCCCATTTTGGATTGGCTTGTTTTAAGTGCTTTTAAGCCAAAATAGCTTTTAAGCCATTTTGTAGTGTTTGGATAAAGTAAAAAAGTGCTTTTAAGCACTTGTTTTTAAGCTAAAATGACAAAAACAAGCCAAAAACAAAAAGCTAGAATTCCTAACTTATGGCTTAAAAGCTATTTTGGCTTAAAAATCACTTAAAACAAGCACATCCAAACAGGCTCTTTGTCAATCAACTATCCTCGACAAAATCGACCTTTTTGTAGTGGGTAAGAATCCTATATCATTTGAACTTGTAGTTTGGAGAAAAGAACGAGCGAAAGAAAAGCACTACTCTTAATTCTTTTCTCTGGTACTAGCAAACGTCTCAACTTACAACGATATATACAGTGTAATTCCACAAATGAGGTCTGAGAAGAATAATGTGTATGCACGTTAGAGGTTATTTCCAATATACCCTCGGCTCAAAGAACATTCCTTTTGCTTTTCAAATAGAATAATAATGCATCCTATAGAAGAAAATTAGATGGAGTATTGAATAAGAGATATAGTAAGATTTAAAAGCATGAGAGCATTGAATAAGAGATATGCTAAGATTTAAAAGCATGAAAGCACACCTAATTCTTGTTGGGCTTCACCATTGGGCCACCCCAATAGCCCAACATAAAAGCCCAATATGAAACAGGGACCATATTTCTTGGGGGGATTTGCAGCGGTACTCACTTTTTATGTCACCTTTTAACCTATACCCTGTTTTTAAAAATTATTGATTTCGTAATCAACTAACAGAAAATCCGTGTTAATATGACCATTATACCCCTTTCAAAATATATAAAAGTGCGTCTCTCCTCCGTATTCACAGATTCAAATTACAGATCTCCTCCGTATCTCCTCCATCAGTCAGTTCCTCCTGAGAACGCGTCTCGTATTCAAATTCCATATTCAAATTCAAATTCAAATACATTGTAAGTTATTCAAATTCATCTCCAGAATTCAAAATAGTTTTTGAATTTTATGTTTTCTGGTTGTTTGACGAATTTCAGTGAAGGAATATAAATTCCATATTCAAATCAAATTCATCTCCAGAATTCAAAATGCTTTCTGATTAATTCACTGAATTCTAATTTAATGTGTGATATGTTAGTAACATATTGCACTAAAAAAACTTCGGCCTAACAGCTGAAGTTTTTTATTTATTACTTAAAAACTTCAGAGGGAGCCTGAAATTTTTCTCCTACACTAGTTAATTAAAAAATGATATTGCACTAAAAAAACTTCGGCCAAGCAGCTGAAGTTTTTTTGTTATTACTCAAAAACTTCAGCATATTTTCCACATACACTGGCTAAATTAAAAAATTATATTGCACTAAAAAAACTTCGGCCTAACAGCTGAAGTTTTTTATTTATTACTTAAAAACTTCAGAGGGAGCCTGAAATTTTTCTCCTACACTGGTTAAATTAAAAAATGATATTGCACTAAAAAAACTTCGGCCAAGCAGCTGAAGTTTTTTTGTTATTACTCAAAAACTTCAGCATATTTTTCACATACACTGGCTAAATTAAAAAATTATATTGCACTAAAAAAACTTCGGCCTAACAGCTGAAGTTTTTTATCTATTACTTAAAAACTTCAGAAGGAGCCTGAAATTTTCCTCCTACACTGGTTAAATTAAAAAATGATATTGCACTAAAAAAACTTCTTATTACATTCTAGTTCCAAGAATATAGGAATTGAATAAACAAACAAGATAGGAAAACCAGTCTATCAAGAACGAAAAGTATGAAATAACCAAGAGACATACCAGAGGAAGAAGAGCTCAATGCATAGTAGAAGTGGATTTGATAGCAGTATCTTCAAATGTAATCCGATAATCGGCCAAGCAGCTGAAGTTTTTTTGTTATTACTCAAAAACTTCAGCATATTTTCCACATACACTGGCTAAATTAAAAAATCATATTGCACTAAAAAAACTTCGGCCAAGCAGCTGAAGTTTTTTTGTTATTACTCAAAAACTTCAGCAGGAGGCTGAAGTTTTCCACATACACTGGCTAAATTAAAAAAATCATATTGCACTAAAAAAACTTCGGCCTAACAGCTGAAGTTTTTTATTTATTACTTAAAAACTTCAGAAGGAGGCTGAAGTTTTCCACATACACTGGCTAAATTAAAAAAATCATATTGCACTAAAAAAACTTCGGCCTAACAGCTGAAGTTTTTTATTTATTACTTAAAAACTTCAGAAGGAGCCTGAAATTTTCCTCCTACACTGGTTAAATTAAAAAATGATATTGCACTAAAAAAACTTCGGCCAAGCAGCTGAAGTTTTTTTGTTATTACTCAAAAACTTCAGCAGGAGGCTGAAGTTTTCCACATACACTGGCTAAATTAAAAAAATCATATTGCACTAAAAAAACTTCGGCCTAACAGCTGAAGGTTTTTATTTATTACTTAAAACTTCAGAAGGAGCCTGGCTAAATTAAAAAATGATATTGCACTAAAAAAACTTCGGCCAAGCAGCTGAAGTTTTTTTGTTATTACTCAAAAACTTCAGCAGGAGGCTGAAGTTTTCCACATACACTGGCTAAATTAAAAAAATGATATTGCACTAAAAAAACTTCGGCCAAGCAGCTGAAGTTTTTTTGTTATTACTCAAAAACTTCAGCAGGAGGCTAAAATTTTCCACATACACTGGCTAAATTAAAAAATCATATTGCACTAAAAACTTCGGCAAGCACAAAACATTCAGCCAAAAAAACAAAACACAAATTCAAATCCAAAAATAATGCCAAAACATGAAAAAAAAACTTCAGCTCCTATCCTAAAGTATCATTATCATCTGTTTAACTCTGAAAATTTTTAAAAATTTGAAAGTCGAATCACAGAAGAATTTATAGAAATTACATTAACAACATGAACAACCTATCAAACTAAACCCTATCATAAATACATGAATATCAAAACCCAAAACCAGAAATTAAATCATAAAACAAAACCCAGAAAGTTAATGCAATGTACCCGTGATTAAATCATAATATGGTAACAACGGTGACTAACAGTTGAAAATTCGAAAGAACGACGAAAACTGTTTGATTTCTGAGAAGAGCAAATCGAAAAACGCGAATAACGGGAGAGAGAAACAGTAGAACACTAGCGTATACTTGGAGAGAAAGTAGTCTTTTAACAAAAAAGNATAATTATAGAGAAGAAAAAACTAATACATCAGCATATTATTACAAAATAAAAAGTAACTTACTTCATGAGTTTTGAACATATAATAAAGTTCAGGAAATTTAGGCTCTCCCACGCATACATAACGTAACATCCTGGGGATCTGAGGCATATCAAGGTACTCATCCTCTGCTACATACCTCATCCGAACATCTGGGAAGCGCTCATAGAACCAAACACATAACGGATATGGAAATCCAGTAAGTTTATACTCAGTTGCATGATGTTTGTTCTGCTTGTCCAATACATGTTTCAATGAATAAATGAGCTTCTCATAAGCCACATTACCCCAGGGATATTCAACACGAGCCTTCTCGTCCTCAACGATAGATGCATACTCCTCATTCACACATGAATCGTTATTTTTCCCAAACAGAATAGACTCTAAAATAAGAATTTCCACAAGCGTAACTGCATCTTCATCATTCTCGCATACGTGTGGATAATTCACAACATTCTTTGGAATTGCATTGCGAGTCATAAAACCTCGAATATCCTTCAGATACACACCCTTGGACTTACCAAAATACCGGTTTAGAACAGTGCTCTTTCGATTAAATGGTTTTTCAATATTATGTGCTGTTATCGGCAAACCACACATAATGTGAAAGTCTTCAAGGGTGAAGGAAACATCATGCCCAAATATCTTGAAACTAATAGAGTCTCGATCATTCGTGAATATTCGAGAAAGACACAGACAATGAACCAACTTCATGCTGCATTTGATATTCTCCATAGCAATAATGTGTTTAAATGGACCATTACTAAGCTTAGCCTGTTGTGCAGGAGTCAAGAAAGATGCAATTAAACTCTTCAAATCATGGTTCCCCTTCCAGTAACCCTTAGAGTTAAACCATTCTGTAAACTCAAAATATCTTTGTCCTGGTTTTGTAGGTAGAGGCTGAGGGACATAAGGACCTGGGACTACTACTGGTAGTCTAGGTTTTTTAGGTGCTTTGCCTTCTTTAGCTCTTTAGGTGCTTTAGGAGCCATCTGTCAAAAAAAAGTAAAAGATACAAATAATAACATCAGGACATTATCAAAAAGATCATTTAAAACTTCAACACCTAAGAAGGCTTAAGTTCGACAGGTATAAAACAAAAACTTTAGCTGAAAGTTTTAATTTATTACTTAAAACTTCAAAAGGAGCCTGGCTAAATTAAAAAATGATATTGCACTAAAAAAACTTCGGCCAAGCAGCTGAAGTTTTTTTGTTATTACTCAAAAACTTCAGCAGGAGGCTGAAGTTTTCCACATATACTGGCTAAATTAAAAAAATCATATTGCACTAAAAAAACTTCGGCCTAACAGCTGAAGTTTTTTATTTATTACTTAAAAACTTCAGAAGGAGCCTGAAGTTTTCCTCTACACTGGTTAAATTAAAAAATGATATTGCACTAAAAAAACTTAACTTCAGCAGGAGGCTGAAGTTTTCCACAGACACTGGCTAAATTAAAAATTGATATTGCACTAAAAAAACTTCGGCCAAGCAGCTGAAGTGTTTTTGTTATTACTCAAAAACTTCAGCAGGAGGCCGAAGTTTTCCACGTACACTGGCTAAATTAAAAAATCATATTGCACTAAAAACTTCGGCAAGCACAAAACATTCAGCCAAAAAAACAAAAGACAAATTCAAATCCAAAAATAATGCCAAAACATGAAAAAAAACTTCAGCTCCTATCCTAAAGTATCATTATCATCTGTTTAACTCTGAAAATTTTTAAAAATTTGAACGTCGAATCACAGAAGAATTTATAGAAATTACATTAACAACATGAACAACCTATCAAACTAAACCCTATCATAAATACATGAATATCAAAACCCAAAACCAGAAATTAAATCATAAAACAAAACCCAGAAAGTTAATGCAATGTACCCGTGATTAAATCATAATATGGTAACAACGGTGACTAACAGTTGAAAATTCGAAAGAACGACGAAAACTGTTTGATTTCTGAGAAGAGCAAATCGAAAAACGCGAATAACGGGAGAGAGAAACAGTAGAACACTAGCGTATACTTGGAGAGAAAGTAGTCTTTTAACAAAAAAGGGTAAAATAATCTTTTCAAATGGCTTTTAACAAAAAAGTAGGTATAGGTGCAAATAGAAAGACAAAGCGGGTACAGATTAAAAGGGGCGCCCAGTGCAACTTTTACTATTTCTTGGGCTGGGCTTACTGCGTTTGGCGGGTCAAAAAATCAGTAGCGGAGAAAGTAAACTGAGAGCGGCTGAGCAACCAAAATTCGCCGCCGTGAAGATAATGTTTGCAATAAAGAAACACATTCGAAACTCTTCCCTCAAGTTTTGGAGCTTCAATTTCATCCTTTCCAATATCAATGTCGTCTCAAGGTACACATTTATAGCCAATTTCCTACCTAGGGTTTTTAGTTAGTTGTATACAGAACTTATATTAGCTTCCTAATAAGAACAGGAATTCTTCATTTTCAATTGGAAATGTTATTTTTTTTATCTTACTCTTGAAAAGGATGAATGATCAATACCCAGAAAAAAAAAATCACAGTTTGAATTGAGGCTATTCAACATTTTCAGCTTTGGCCAATGCTATAGGTTGTTATAAATTGGTGAAAAACCTTTTCTTTACATTTTCTGTAAGTTTTTTCTAGGCATTTGTAATTTATCCGCTGATTGATTTTTTTTTTTTTAATGCAGGGTAACTGTTCCAACTTGTTCATATTTGCCTAAAGCAACTTCCTTCATGCGTTTTTTTAGTCATGTCAACTCCTCAATGTCCAGAAACTATCATCAAATGAGATTAATTCCTAGATTATCATGTCAAGATCCTGCAATGAATGCTTTGATATTGCCAGGTTCATTAAATTTTTGGTCTCATGAGACTGTTTTGAAATGGTTTCATGCTAGACGGTTCTCTAGTCCATCCATAGAGCTGAATACAGAGAAAGGCGTCGTCAGATTTAGATTTGGTCAAGAAATTGGAGAAAGTGGTGGTCAGACAAAGGCAAAGCATGTGGTGAAGAAGTTTAAAATGTCTAAAAAAGCAAAACTGAATGAACTCAGACTTTACAGACTGAAGGCAAAGAAGAAAATGAGATCTCCAAATCCTGAAGTTAGGATCAGATACAAACTTGAGAAGGTCAGAGCTATTAAGGGTGACGGTATCCATGTTTAAGATATGTTGAGCAGAATGTTTTGCATCTTCTCATAATATTTTTTCCAAGATAATTTTACCAAGCATTTGAATGGTTTTCGGTTGTCATGACATACGCGTATATTTCTAAAAAAAAGTTTGAGAAAATGAAAATTATTATATTTTGACAATATTATCTTGCTTGCTCTAATTTCTGATTCTGATTCTCTTAGAAAAAGTAGCTTTGGCATGTTTTCCAAAACTTTGTCACTTTCTTTTGCAATGGTCCGAACTGATGAAAAAAGAACAAGAGTGTTGAAATCTAACTTTTTAATGTTGGTTATTGCATATATATTGCAGGCAAAACGAAGGGAAGCTTGGTTGATTGAGAAACTGAGAAAATTTGAGGTACCTAAAGCTCCAGATGAACCGCATGATCCTGAAATTTTAACTGAAGAAGAGAAGTTTTACTTAAAGCGCACTGGTGAGAAAAAGAAAAATTATGTACCAGTTGGAAGGCGAGGAGTATTTGGAGGGGTTGTTTTGAATATGCATCTTCACTGGAAGAAACATGAGACTGTTAAGGTTGTATGCAAGCCTTGCAAGCCTGGGCAGGTTCATGAATATGCTGCAGAGCTGACTCGGTTGAGCAGAGGCATTGTTATTGACATTAAACCAGACAATACCATAATATTCTATCGTGGAAAGAACTATGTTCAACCAGAAATTATGTCTCCTCCAAATACTCTATCTAAAGACAAGGTGATATATGCATTTATCTTGTGATTTCGTGCTTGAATCAACCTGTATGTGAAAATTAAAAGAATTTATTTAATAGACGATTTACTGTTGGCTTTGTAAACCTGCAGGCCTTAGAAAAGTACCGATATGAGCAATCATTGGAGCATACAAGTCAATTTATTGAGAAAATGGAGAAAGAGCTGGAAGAGTATCATGAATATCTTGCCCGGAAGAGAAAAGAAGAAAAGAGTTGAAGCTGATGGTTTGAAGTTAACTTCTGAGGTATAGATGCAATTCTGAAATGTTTCTACCTCTCCAGGCAAGTAATAAAAAAATTTAATTTTTTAATTACTTAAAGTTGTTACGGAAGCTTAGTGCTGGTTGTGTCTTTTGATTATCCTAGCACTTCGTGCAGTTGAGATGAAAAGTGTGATGGCCAATAGGAGTGGATCTGAAAGAGGAAGGAAATGAATCATTTACCTTGCATGGTAGCAAATTAAAAGAGACCGAGTTAACTTTTCAACCCCTCAGAAGTTGAATGAAAGGAGTAGGATCACTCTTTAACTCTCATCAATCATCTGTTCACGTGCAGAGAAAAATTAGAAAGCCTCGATACACCAGCCCCTTTGCAATCCTTTAGCCAAGCATGGTATAAAGGTAAAGACTTGCTTCTTCGTGCTTACTGCTTAGCTGACAACCAGCTTGAATCTTGGATAGATTTGTGGACATTATGTCAAGTAAAAGAGTATTTGTCTGGAAATGTATCAGCAGAATCTGTCAGCAAAGTTCTATATTGAGTGAGGGAGTTAAGCCGGGGATATTTAATGGTAACAAGGCTTGTCAGTGAAAATTAAAGGTAAAACTTCATGTTCTCATGTCGCAATATGAGTGAACTTCATCTGTGAATTCTCTGATTGGCTGGTGTGGTCTTTACCATTCAACCTATTTCCTGGTGCTACGTTGCAAAGGGTTCATTTTAACAAGCAGTCGAAAAGCAAAGACAATGTAAAATGTGTTGCAATCAGTTCACATGCTTGTGGATTTGACTTCTCTGATGGTCAGTGCAGCCTTCCCCTTTTAACTCAGTTTTCGGATTGAGTATTCTTGCTTGTATTCAGATCATTTTTTAATGGAAGATTCAGCTAATAGCTCCCCAGAAGAGCTATCAAATCCATTGAAGCTTTCTTTCACACTTATTGTTTGTTGTTTAAGTATGCCGGGACAGTGCTTACTGTCCTTGTAACTTCGCCTATGTGTTCTACTGGTTGATATTTATTGGGAATTATACAATAAATACAACTTACCCCTTATAAGGCGTCTGGCAGATTTGTCGACAGGGGCGGCCCTTCCATAAAGCAAGTAAAGCAACTGCATTAGGCCCCACATTTGCGGGTGTCCCATTTTTTTTTACCCTTAATAAGCTATGTATAAGTTTAAAAAAATGTTTTGTGAAGTGAAAAAGTTTGATTTCTTTCGGTAACAAGTATAGAGAAGAAGGATTTGCAACTGCTATGATTTCTGCCAAGAAAATTGTACTTGAAATGAATATCGGGCCCCGATTTCGTAAGAAACATTTGATATATAGGAAGTAACAATTTGATGAGAATGTTGATAATAAAATCTCAAAATCTTTCGAAGAGTTTTTTGGAGTTGATTACTTTATAGATAGTAGACAAGGTTATTTTTTCACTTCAAAATAGATTTGAACAATTCAAAGCATATGAAGATATTTTTAGTTTTCTACTTAGCGGTAAAGATTACGATCACTAGATGATGAAAATTTGAAAAAATATTGTCTTAATCTTGAATGTTCCTTAAAGCGTAATAATCAATTCGATATTGATATTTTAGATTTATTTTCAGAATTAAAAGTATTAAGAAAAATAGTACATAACAGTTTAATTGATATACTCGGTCAAATAAAAAGATTTGATTCTTTTTTCAATGCCTATATTACTTATGGAATAATGCTAATAACTCATGTTACCGTCGCTTCAGCGGAAAGAAGTTTTTAAAATTAAAAATGATAAAATCTTACATATCTCAAGAAAGATGAAATGGATTAGCTATATTGTCAATTAAGAAAGACTTATTAGGGGTTATTGATTATAAAAAAATTATTAATAACTTTGTATCTAAGAAACGCTACAAAAATAGACTTCAAATAAATAAATAACTTTTTTTTAAAAAAAGTTAAGGCCCCTCAAAAAGTTTTGCTTTAGGCCACAAAACTCGTCGGACCGTGCCTGTTTGTCCACCTATTTTACTACTTCAACAACTGACCCGAACATAGTGTGTTGGCCTTGAAACATCTGATGGAGTTATAAATTGGCGAGTGTAATGGTTTCGGAGGACATATATAATCATCTGAGGATGGAGTCGTTTTTTCATTGATTATTTGTACAAGTGTCACAACCCCTTCAATTTTATGTCCAAAAATAACAGAACCAAGATTGACCTGAACTACTTCTGATCAAGTGGAAGCCAACAAAATTATTAAGCTAGCGTTTGGCCATAGATTTCCAAATTTGTTTTTAAAAATCTGATTTGGGTAAAGTTTGGTTTGAAGATGAAAAAGTGGGTGGACATAAGTTTTTAATACATATTTCACTTTCTTTTTTTTTTGAAAAAACATGAAACATGACTTATACCCACAAGTCTAAAAGCTATCACAAATATCCAACATTACCTTTATCAGTAACATTCACTATATTGTCGCAAACCATAGTCTCGAACATAAATTTATTTAGTACAAAATTGTCATTTTCATAATGAATTACATAATACACTATCAAATGTCCGAGAAGACGAAGCAACATTGTTACAAAATAATAAATGGCGGGCTCTTTTATAAAACACAAGAGTTTGGGGCAATTTTTAAAAATTGTAATAGTGATATTGTCACGACCAACTTTCCCTCCGTTTGGGTATCGTGATGGCACCTAGCTTTAGGGACTAGGTAAGCCTAACTTATACTGAAATACCACAATAATAAATGAAATTTAACAGTCTTGAAGCAGAAATCTCTACAAATTTATAATTTCCAAAACCCGGTAGTACAAGTCATAGCTCTACATCGTTTCGCTACAACTTCTAAACACAGCCGTATGGAAATAAGTACAATAGTGTGAATATAAAATTGGAAGGTGACTTCGAATCCTGCGAACGCAGCAACAGGGCTACCTTGAGTCTCCTCGACAAGAATCCGCACAGCTACTATCGAACAATACCTGGATCTGCACACAAAAAAATATGCAGAAGTGTAGTATGAGCACACCACAGCGGTGCCCAGTAAGTATCAAGACTAACCTCGGTGGAGTAGTGACAAGGAACAATTAAGACACCCATTGGTCTAATACGCAGAACAAGTATAAGTATAGAAATAACGGAACATAATATCTATATAAAGACTACGCGATATGGCTAACAACACAGTAACCGCAATAAGGAAAGAAAACAGCAAGTAACAGCGGGACAGCGTAATAAGAACACAGAAAAAAATGAACGGAAATACAACCCAATCCGAATTCATGAATACGGAAAAGACAAGTCATAACTCAGCAACTACGATAATTTTCACATTTGGTCTTAGCTAACAAACTTCAATCAATTAATCAAATCCTTCAAGTGATAAAAATGTTTCGAATTATACTTCGTTTCAATGAATACCTTCCAAAAATAATTCTTTCAAAATAAATACCTTTCGAATATAATCTTCTCAGATAAATAACCTTCGAATATGAGTCACCCTGTGACACCTCATCTCATAATCATACAATACGGATCTCAATACCTGAACCCTAGCACTTGGCATCCTGTGCCCTCATCACCACATAATCATATTGACAACTCACGTGCCAATTAGAGCCATTCTCACATGGAAGGCAAACAAACAAGGATGTGTGCCTATACTCGACAATACCAAGAAACCTCCTATCCGATAAATGTGCTTAGCCACGTGTATGCTTGTGCAAGTGTCCTAACGTAGTTCATACCAGCTAGTAAGTATAAGGAACAGAACGGACAACACATATAATGTTTACACAGGGATAGGATCAATGAAAACAACAGCTCAGAACATAGTGATATTAACAGGGGATCTCCTAGGATACCGTCCCATAGTCCCAAACATAAATGTACAGACGATCTCCCGGGATACCGTCCTGTAGTCCAAATCATAAATGTGCAGGGGGGTCTCCCGGAATACCGTTTCGTAGTCCCAAAGTAAATATCTAGTACAGGGGGATCTCCCGGGATACCGTCTCGTAGTCCCAAACATAAATGTGCAGGGGGATCTCCCGAATATCGTTCTGTAGTCCAAAAGTAAATATCCAGTACAGGGGGATCTCCCGAGATACCGTCCCGTAGTCCCAAACATAAATGTGAAGGGGGATCACCCGGAATACCATTCTGTAGTCCCAAAGTAAACATGCAGGGGGATCTCCCGGAATACCGTTCCGTAGTCCCAAAGTAAATATGTAGTGCAACCAACAGAAACAACAGTTATAGCACAACATAAAACTCGTACATCACCACAATACGTATAACAACGACAATGACAATAATACATGGTGCGACAAGTGAATCAACTCAAGAACTGTAAATCACAAGGAAACAGTAGAACCGATTCCCAAGGAATAACCACAGATAGAATGCTAGGCATAAAGGGAACAGTTCAACAAAGGGAAAACTAACATGTAGCAACGATCCCACAATATACGAGTCAATAACAAGGAAAATCAACATGAGTCGAGTAGTCCCAAATAAAGGCAAGTCAACAAAGATATCGGTTATCTAACTCCTTTTAAGGTTGGACAATTACGAGGATATTCGACAATTCAATTAAGGAAAGATGATCTTAGCTTCACTTAAGACTAAACAAATTTAGGAGGGTTAATGATACATTCTCAATAAGACAAGCATCCATGAAAGGATAGCATGACAATAGGAGAGACAAAATTTTTCAGTTAAATCAAGTAGGAGTCAATTAGGCAATAAGAGTGAATCATGAAGCAATTAAATTCCAATTAAGCATGTAGAGGTGAAACTAGTAAATAAGAAACTCAGTCATATCAAGAATAACTTCATACATAGTGAATATAAGGACCTAAGAACCCTAAAGGCCAATTTCACACAACTAAGTCCAAGTACGCACTCGTTATCTCGCGTACACGAACTACAATCAACATAGAAGACTCAAATCCTAAAGGGAAGTCCCCCACACAAGGTTAGGCAAGATACTTACCTCAAAGACGACAAACTGATACTCTAAAATGCACTTCTCGGGTGAAAAGACCTCCGGACGGCTCAAATCTAACCAAATTAACTTCAAAGCACAAATAAAACACATAAGAAACTATTCCGGATCATAAAGTCTCAATCTTTAGCAAAATCCAAAAATCGATCCAAAAGTCGACCCGCGGGGCCGCACCTCGGAACCCGACAAATTTTACAAAATCCGAATACCCATTCCAATATGAGTTCAACCATACAAAAATTATCAAATTCCGATACCATTTGGTCCCTCAAATCATGATTTTTCATTTTAGAAATTTTCTTCAAAAACCAACATTTTCCCCAACCTAAAACACAATTTAAATGAAAAAAACAAGGATAAAATCATGAAATATATTAGATACTAGGTGAAGAACACTTACCCAATCGATTTGTTTGAGAACCCCGAAGAAGCTCCCAAAATCGAAGTCCAAAGTTCAAAATATGAAGAAAATGGTCAAACCCTCGATATAAAGGATTCTGCCCAGCACTTTCGCATCTGCGGATACTTAAGCGCATCTGCGCTATCGCATTTGCGGGCAGATGTTCGCATTTGCGAACTTCACTTACAGGCCTAGGTCCGCATCTGCAAACAACTAGTCGCATCAGCGGCGCCACAGAAGCGATAACAGGAGCGCAGAAGCGGGGGCTCCTTCGCAGATGCGTTGCATCAACCGCAGAAGCGGTTGCGCACCTGCGTTCCAGCACTCGCAGAAGCGAGCTAGCTTCCAGGCCTCAAAGATCGCAGATGCGATCAGGCTCACGCAGAAGCGGAGCCGCACCTGCGCTCCAAGGTCGCAGGTGCGAAAACACCAGAAATCAGACATGCTCAACACCATGCAAAACATCCGGAACTCGTCCAGAACACACCCGAGGTCCCCAGGACCCCGTCTAAACACACAAACAAGTTCTGTAAGCTAAAACGGACTCGCTCGAGGTCTCAAATCACATCAAACAACGCCGAAAATATAAATCGAGCCATGAATTGAACTATGAACTTCCAAATCTTCCAACTTTGAAAACTCGTGCCGAAACCAATCAAACCAACCCGGAATGATGCCAAATTTTGCAGACAAGTCCCAAATGATAAGACGGAGCTATTCCAACTCTCGGAATCACATTCTGACCCCGATAACACAAAAGTCAACTATGGGTCAAACTTCTCCATTTTTCAAACTTCAACTTTTCCAACTTTTGCCAAATTGCCTCAATTTACTCTACGGACTTCCAAATCAAAATCCGGACGCACGCCTAAGTCCAAAATTACCATACGAAGGTGCTGACATCATCCAAAATTCATTCCAGAGCCGTCTACACTAAATTCACATTCCGGTCAAATTCTCACCGCTTAAGCTTCCAAAACTAGATTCCTTCTTCCAATTCGGTTCTGAATCATCCGGTAACTGAATTCAACCATTCATGCAAGTCGATACACATATTATGAAGCTGTTCAAGACCTTACGCCGCCAAACGGAGCTTAAATTCTCAAAACGACCGGCCGGGTCGTTACAGATAATTTAGGCCGGTTTTGGGATTTGGGATTTGGGATTCGGGTTTTGGGATTTTGCCAAAATGTAGATAAAATTTATGAACAAACATGTGTTTGCGAAATAAAATCCAAATATATTTTGGCAAAATCTATGGCCAAAAGTGTCCTAAGTATTCCGAGAATCAGTATCTTCTTATATGATATAGAACTACTGAATTGTTCTTGCTTCTCTTTTTATTATAAATAGAATTGTATTTAACATGAATGTCTATATTTTAGAGAGATTTTAGGAATTATTACTTGGTGATTAAGTCACTCTTTCCTTATAAATAGAGGGTTATATTCCATTGTAATTCATCTCAAATCAATAAGAATTCACTCTCTCTACTTTTCTCTGCAATACTCTTTTTTCTTTTTTTATTGTTTTGTAGCACGTTATCAGCACGAGACTCTAACCAATTGAGTAGAAACTTTGGGATTGAGCATAATGATTGTCAATTGTTCCAGGACTTCCTACATGATTAAATTTTGGATTTAAGGTAGGTATTTTACTTTATTTTTCTCTTTTAAATTCTTAACATTCTATAATTTGATTTTAAATACAAGCAAAGACAATAAATTTTGATTATAACTTTAATAGAGTTTGTAAGAAATTAGAACCAAAAGTGGTAAAATTTCTATATCTTTCCATGATCAAATTCATGTATGATTGTGAGCACAAAAAATGGAAACTCGTCCCATTGAATTTGCTTCATTCTCATTCCCTTAAGAGAATTTGATAGCAATATGTGATAGTCTGAAAGAAGACAAAATTATTACCATGAATGTATCAATGGATGTGGACGTGGCAATAGACGAAATTATAATCGTCATCATTGTGGTAATGAGAACAATAAGCATTCTCAAAATAATCCTTCACTATGTGAAAGTAATATTTGTCATCGATTTGACATGAGATTTTTTAAAACACATATAGATGATTATGGTCCATTCATGATGTGAATGTGACAACATGTGATTTATGAATACATATTCATTCTTGGAAGAATATGAGCGTACTAGTGGTATATACCACACTCACCTCTAGAAGGAGGTTTGAGAGGAAATAAGAAAAAAAATGTCATTATTATGACATAAATGGCCATTGGTCACATACTTATTGTACGCCAAAATATTTTGGCAATGTGATTATTAAAAGACAACGGTAATGCAAGAAACCGATCTTGCATATAATTTTGACCATAACCATAATGATATAAATTTCTCTTTAAAAGAGATATTCACCATATGGATGTTGATGAATATGTGGTAGTACAAAATTAATTGAGAGCTCTAGAATAGACAATTATTACTATTTTGGAGGAACAAAATTGGTTATCAATAAGGCATTATGTTGTAGTAAGTCTCAAAGAAATTTATTTAGTTTCTAAAGTATTCCCGAAAGCAATTGGTTATATTGAGACTATAAATAAAGAAAAGATTTAATATCTTATATTACTACAACTTGTAGCGGGGTGATATGTATGTGAAAAGCTACCCGCTTTATTCTCCAATTTGTACTACACAAACAAAAGAATGTCACAATAAAGTAGAAGTTTATTGATATAAAAACTCATATCATAATAAACTTGGAGTTTATTCATAATTGCACACGTCATGGTGTAAACCTGAAGTTTATCAATATTGATAATTTATCCATGTGGCATAATTGGTTTAGCCATATTAATTTAAGTATGATGTGCAAAAATAAAAGAGAATTCACATGAGTAAATATTGGAGAACTAGAAAGTTCTTTGCGAATTCTCTTATGTTGTTTGTTCTCATCAATTAATAGACCAACTAAAATTGGCATTGAACCCCATGAATGCTGGAAATATCAAAAGTGAATATGAGCTCATTCACCTACCATGTATACCACATAAGATGCATCTATGAGATGGTTACATGTGCGATTATTATTAACCCGCATCCTGGCCGGTGTTTGCGAGGTAACTTGCTCAGTAATTTAATTTCGAGCATAATTTCCATATTTTCTATTCAAGACAGTTTATCTTGATAAGTTGGTTTACATCACAATTAGTTTAGCAAAACAATTATTGAGTGCCTCCACTTAATAGCTAAACTATTATTTATGAGAACAAAGTTATGTATATCAGTTTGATATACGTTATATACGAAAGTATATTACATTCTCCCCTCACAAGTGGTTCGGGGTTAGGAACCAAATAATTCCATCTTATTCTTATTAATGTGGGGTGTATATTTTGATTAACACCATAACACACAAAGGTGGGTTTTCAAAGTTCAGAAAGTAAGTTAGTTTTTCTAACATGAGGGGGAGACAGGATAAACACTTGAGAAAAAGCTACGCGGAATGAATTATCATGTGTATATCTAGATCATCGAACAAAATAATATGAACTTGAAGTACATAAAAGGATAACATTTGCAATATATTGCAAAGCATGCCAGACGCATTTGCTGACCCAAAGAAAGTAACTATATTCTCATTGCAAATGCTTCTATTAAGTCCTAGAAGGACAAAGTCTATGGTACGCTTAATATACACAAATCGGTTTCAAATAAATTTCTTGATAAAGAAGATGAGAAAATGATCAAAATGATCATAATAAAGGAGGCAAGTGATCTAGAAGATCACATGACATAACACTTCATAAAATATCATGAGAGATTCAGGTACTTGAATATATGAATGAAAGGATCTCTATGTTATGTCTTTATGAAAAAAAAGGAGGTTGAAACCTATATAAAATGTTTGTCGACGACATCTATAATAGCGCTATATATATATATATATATATATATGAGGATCTTAAGTCTGGAGAAACAATTCAAGTAGAATTTGGTTTCATATGAAAGACATGTAGTTTTGTACATATAGTTCAAACACTCAAAATTGTAAAGTCAATAGGTGTGTGCAATCACTTTCACGTATTTTATATATTGGCATGATATGAAAACTTGATATAAATCTAAAGTTTATTTATATGGCTTATTTGACTATACTTGTATGATAATCCCTGAGGGATTTAAATTGCTTAAAGCATATATAATTCTTGATCTTGAAGTACCACATCCTCGGTGTAATTTATGCACAAATGTATCTTGCTATAACTATAAGCATGATAATATGACAGCGAGAATTTTTTACCTCTATTGAGATATTGAAAAGGACATTCCACGGCAGTTTATGAAGACATTACATCTCTATCAAGAATGATGATTTCAAGGTGCAATTTGTTTATCAAATCTCTACCAACGATCTTTTGAAGATGGTGCACAAGATTGGAATGCATAGGTTCAAAGATGTGAATTGATGCTCTCATCAGAGGGAGTTAATACGCATTGTATTATTCCCTTACAAGGTTTTGTCCCATTGGATTTTCCTTGCAAGGTTTTTAACGAGGCAACCAAAAGGCGTATTGTTAGATATGTGTACTCTTTTTTCTTCACTAGAATTTTTTTTCCTATTGGATTTTAATTTAGTCAAGGTTTTAAGGAGGTACATTATATGTTGAATAGACATTAAAGGGAGAGTGTTATAAATATAATTGTATTTAAGATGAATGTCTATATTTTAGAGAGATTTTAGGGATTATTACTTGGTGGTTAAGTCACTATTTCCCTATAAATAGAGGGTTCTATTCCATTGTAATTCATCCCAAATCAATAAGAATTTTTCCTATTTACTTTTCTCTGCTATACTCTTTCTTCTTCAAAATGAAAATGAAAACAAACATTGAGAATCAGCGATCGCGATTAAGCGCACATCCCCTAGATTCCATATATTAGTACCCAATTTGGGTATAACTCAAAATTTATGGATTCTGGTTCCTTTTTTCCTTTCTTTTTCAAGTTCAAAGTGGAAACCTAAGCTGAGATTTGTACCTCTTCCTAATGATGTTAGGATTTGATGGTTTCCGCGTTCTCCTGGAAGAACTATATGTGGATTAGATAAGCTTCCAATAATAAGCTGAAGTTGCTGTGGTGTAGTGGTTATCACGTCAGTCTTACACACTGAAGGTCCCCAGTTCAATCCTGGGCAGCAACATTTTACCTCGATTGCCCTTTTTATTTCGTCTTTTTGCTTTTTGGTTGCCGCTATTTCACAAATGAGCCAAATCACCAAGTACTCATAGTTATTGCGAAATGACAATGTCGGACCAAAATCTGCAATATCTTAAGACGTTCTATCACAAAAAACTTTTTCTTTCTTTTTGATTTATTAATTTCTAAAGTGTCTTCGTTTAGATTTGCTGCTTAGTTGCATGACTGAAGGTAGGAGTGTCAATGGATATTTTACAGATATTTTTACCTTCTTATACTACATATGAAACTTTATTACCCTCCCTAATCAGGTTTTAATTTAATTACATGGCCATATACAATTTACCAATTTATACAAATTAGTTTTAAATGAGTATCCCTTTAAATTAGGAATTGAATAAGGAATCAGTTATTTCTCATCCATGTTCTCTCTCCTGCTCTCTCTCTGTCTCTCTCCTTCTCTCTCTCTCTCTCTCTCTCTCTCTCTCTCTCTCTCTCTCTCTCTCTCTTTTTACTGTTATTTATGTTGTCTAAATTCTAAGCAACCCTCCTATTCGTTCATTCTCTTCAATATTGCATTGATCTGAGAAATGGAAGCTCGGCTTTGTATTTTCATGTCAAAACCTTTATTTTGAAGGTAAACTTATCTTCTACCTTCTCTCTTATCATTCTTTTCCTCTTTTTCATTTTCTGAAAAGTAATGGGGTTTCTCAGGAACAACTAACCAAGACATTTCAAGAGTCTCTATGTTAAATTTTTCCTTCTTTTAAATCTGGGTTTCACTAGTCTAAATTGAACAAATCCTAAAGATTGTATCTATTTTTCTTCTGTTTCTCTCCCCCTCTTTCCTTGTTTCAAAACTCTGATACCTGGAACCTTTTTTGTGGTTACAGAACGAGATTCGGGAAAAAGTTTACATTTTTATGTGTTTGGAGGTTAAGAATAAGGGAGAATGATTAATATTATGAATCCAGTGAACAAACCTATGAATGAAGTGGAGAAAGGATTGGATCCTCAGTTATGGCATGCCTGTGCTGGTGGTATGGTCCAAATGCCACCACTGAACTCAAAAGCCTTTTACTTTCCTCAGGGACATGCTGAACATGCCCACAAGAATGTTGATTTTGGGGGTTTCCCTAAAATTCCACCACTTACTCTTTGTAGAGTTTCATCCATTAGGTACTTGGCTGATACTGAGACTGATGAGGTCTATGCCAAGATAAGATTAGTTCCATTAAAAGGCAACGAATGTGATGTTGAAGATGATGCTGGATTTCTAGGGCTTGATAAGAATGAGAATCAAGAGAAACCTAATTCATTTGCTAAGACATTGACACAGTCTGATGCTAACAATGGTGGGGGGTTTTCTGTGCCAAGATATTGCGCTGAGACCATATTTCCACGGCTGGATTACTCGGCTGAGCCTCCTGTCCAGACCATTTTGGCTAAGGATGTTCATGGGGAGGTTTGGAAGTTTAGGCATATTTATAGGGGGACACCAAGGCGGCATCTTTTAACGACTGGATGGAGCAATTTTGTGAACCAGAAGAAGCTTGTTGCAGGGGATTCGATTGTGTTCTTGAGGGCGGAAAATGGGGATCTCTGTGTTGGGATCCGGAGGGCAAAGAGGGGTATTGGTAGCGGACCGGAGGTGAACTCCGGATGGAATACTGGACCAGGGAATTATGCCTCTTCACTGTATCATGGGTTTCCTGGGTTCTTGAGTGAAGATGAGAAGAAGTTCATCCGAAATGGTCAGGCAGCAAAGTCTGATGATGGTATAAGGGGAAAAGGTAAAGTTCGAGCTGAATCTGTCATTGAAGCAGCAAAACTTGCTGCCTGTGGCCAGCCATTTGAGGTGGTTTACTATCCCCGAGCAAGCACTCCGGAATTTGTCGTCAAGGCCTCTGCGGTAAGAGCTGCAATGAGAGTCCAATGGTCTTCTGGGATGAGGTTCAAAATGCCTTTCGAGACCGAAGATTCCTCAAGGATAAGCTGGTTCATGGGGACCATATCTTCTGTTCATGTTGAGGACCCCATCCACTGGCCAAATTCTCCATGGCGCCTTCTCCAGGTAACTTCCTAGTCTTTTTGTATATGTCCTGGTTTCCATTTATAGACATTCAAATTCTTTATGTTCATTCTTAAGTCATTATAGTTCAGAAAGTCGCATTCTGGTATGCAGTTTGATTGCCTCTTGTATGATAATGTTTAGCTCATCTCAAGTTTAACTAATTCAAAACTTAAAAGGACAAATTTCTAGTTTTTGACCTCATCAAGCCTTTCTTTTTTAGTTAAAAATGTCTGCGTTTGATGAAGTGACTTTGGAAACCTTTCTAGTTGGTGTTCGTCTAGAGTAAGTATTTAATAGTCAAAGGCAGGATGCTAAAAGCTCCAAGTCCGCAACATTCCTGAGGTTCTACTAAGAATCAGCAAGCTCCTTTCTTTTTATAGTTTTGTTGTGATCATCGGTTTCTCATTTTGCTAATTCATGAGCAGGTGCATTGGGATGAGCCAGATTTGCTTCAAAATGTGAAGAGAGTGAGTCCATGGTTGGTTGAATTGGTATCAAATATGCCTCCCATCCATCTCTCTCCGTTCTCACCCCCACGAAAAAAGTTGAGGCTTCCACAACCCCCTGAATTTCCCATGGTTGGGCAACTCTCGATGTCTTCACTTCTCAACAACCCTTTAAGCCCCAGCAGCCCTTTGTGTTGTATATCGGACAACATTCCTGCAGGCATACAGGGAGCCAGGCATGCTCAGTGTGGATTATCGTCATCAGATATCCACTTCAACAAACTGCAGGCAGGGCTACTGCCATTCGGATTCAAAGAACTCGAACGTTCTGTCCCGCCTTCTAGACTTCTTAAAGGCGGCAGCTTCATGACCAGTTTTGACAATGATGAGAATATCTCTTGCCTATTAACCATGGGTAATACCTCTCCCACTTCAACGAAACGTAAGGAAACACAAACACCGACGTTCATGTTATTCGGTAAACCAATTCTTACCAAACAGCAGATGTCCCTGAGCTGCTCTAGTGAAACAGTTGGCAACAGTTCATCTAATGGGAATCCGGAGAAGATGATGAATCTCTCCGAGGGTTCAGGATCAGCTGTTATTCATAATGGTCCACCAGAAAATTCTTCAGGTGAGGTACTTCCTTGGTATAAAGATCAGAAACTTGAATTTAGAATGGAGACCGGTCACTGCAAGGTTTTCATGGAATCCGATGATGTAGGTCGAACACTTGACCTTTCAGTCCTTGGCTCGTATGAAGAATTGTATAAAAAGCTAGCTGACATGTTTGGTGTTGGAACATCAGAGATGCTAAGCAATGTGCTTTACCAAGACTTAACCGGTGCTGTTAAGCACACTGGAGACGAACCATTCAGGTGAAGTTCTAAGCCACAGATTCCTTTATGTTCGTTTTAATAATGTTCACATGGGCAGTTATTGACATTGTCCTTTCGCTTGTTTTTGCGATTGCAGTCAGTTTGTGAAGACAGCAAGAAGGCTTACCATCTTAACAGATTCTGGCAGCGATAACATACGGAGATAGAGACTGATGGATATTGATCCTTGTTAACTGTACAGTTGATTGCTACAATTGTAGTTTCAACCTGCTTCTTTTTCCAGCTTTGAGTTGTTTTTAATAGTTGAAGGGGAAATCTCTCCTTCAACCTGTGTTTAGCAAATTGTAAACTGAAGACAGATTCAGCTTTGTTTGACATTTTCAATCTACCTGGATTTCATCTTGCAGCTTTTTTGTTGATCTTATAAGAAATCAGTTTTTTCATTCAGCTTCTATTGACAATGTTGAAATTAAAATTAGTAAATGGAACATGATGCTAGATTAATGTGTACAAAACTGAATATGCTGGCGATATTTCTTCATTCTTACATTGTATACGTCCAAAATTTATAAACTCATCAGTTGACTTGTCACCTACCTCACCCCCTCTCCATCCCCCTATCCACAGGGAAAAACAGAAAACAACAACAACAACGACCCTTACCCCCGAGGGAGTAGAGAGGCAGTTTCCGAAAGACCCTCGGCTCAAGAAGACGAAAAGAGACAATATCAGTACTACCAATAGAAACCATAGGTAGATAGAAACCATAGGTAGAAACCATAGGAAGAATAACATCATGAAAATGAGAAAGTAATGCAAAGCAAAAGCCATAGTCGGTACATAGACACCGGCACTATGGAAAACGAAAGAGTAGTAAGACACAACCTTGCCATTGGCTGACTTCGACAAAAACCCTACCAGACTAGCCTCATAAAGGTACGAAGTAAGGAAAGACTCAACTACCTCCTAATCTACAACGCTAATACTCGACCTCCACAGCTTCCTATCAAGAGCCATGTCCTCAGAAATCTGAAGTCTCGCCATGTCCTGCCTGATGACATCTCCCCAATACTTCTTAGATCGTCCTCTACCTCTTCTCGTGCCCTCCAAAGCCAACCGCTCACGCCTCCTTACCGGAGCATCTGGGCTTCTCCTTTGTACGTGTCCGAACCATCCGAGCCTCGCTTGCCGCATCTTGTCTCAACAAAAAGAAACCTTTTTTAGTGTGTTTAAATTTTAGGTAGCATTGTACTATAAGAACGCCAAATTATCCTAACCCCCCCCCGCCCCCACACACACACACACACAAAACGTAGCTCGTAGACAAACTTAACTAAACGAAAAACAAACGAATGAA